ATGGACTTACTGAAGAATTTGCAAGAAAATAACAAGGTCAGATTTGTATGTTACAAAGAAATTCTAGCTGCCAAGTGCAAGATGAATTGGAGGCAGATGAGGATGGAGGGAGAGAAAAATAAGAAGGCTACTGGAGTAGTCTGATGAGGAGGATAAATGACTGAACTAGGCTGAGAAAGGGAGAATAGGGTGATGAGAAAGGACTTCAGGAAGTAGAATCGATAGGTGTTGGTGCTTGATTTATGTATTAGTTTTCTATTGCTGTCATAACAAATTACCACATTACCACAAATTTATTACCTTCTAGTTCTGTAGGTTAGAAATCAGACATAGATCTCACAGGGCTAAAACCAGGGTGTCAGCAGGGCTGCACCCCTTTCTGGAGGCTCTGGGGGAGAACTGATTTCTTTGTTCATTCAGGTCATTAACAGAATTCAGTTTCTTCCATTTGTGGAATTTGTAGAGGTCCTGCTTTCCTTGCTGGGTATCAGCTGCGGCCCATTCCCATCTTCCAGAGGCCACCCTTGGTTCATGGCTCCCTTCCCCCATATTCAAAGCCAACAGTGGCAAGTAGATTACCTTTCACGCTTTGAATCTCTCCTGCCTCTTCTTTCTTTCTGCCTCTCTTTTCTGCTTTAAAGGACTTGAGATCAAGTTGAGTTCATCCAGATAATCCAAGGTAATTCTCCATCTCCAGGTCCTTAACCTTAATCACCTCAGCAAAGTCCCTTTGCCATGGAAGGTAGCATATTCATAGATTCTGGACATTAGAAGGTGGCCCTCTTTGGGGGAGCCATTATCCTGCCTTTACCGAGTGGATGTGGGGTCAAGGGAGAGGGTAGAAATCAAGTTTCTGACTTCAACAACCAGGTAGAGTGCAGAGTTAGGGGAAGAAGATGAGTTTGATTTTGAATATGCTGACTTGAAGGTGCCCTTGGGAAATCAAAATGGAACATCTAGTAAGCAGTTGGATGTACGAGCCAGAAGGCAGAGGAGAAACGGAGGCAGGAGATAGAGATGAGGAAGCTGCTGACATGGTGAGCCCTCTGAATGTGTGTGGGGGAGGGGCATGGAGCTAAGGGCAGAAGGCTGGGGTCAGTGCTGTTCTAGGTGTGCCAGAGGGAGAGGCACTCTCAGAAGGGCTGAGAGTGACCTGCATGGCCTCCCTCCATGAGGTCTGGGTTCCTTGTGGCTCATTTCCTCCTTTCTCCTATGCTTAGTCTACTTTTTCCTCATTCCCTGGTTCCCTTTGTTCCTGGTGTCTGCTTCCTAAAACTTTAGCTTGCACCGTGTGCTGCGTTGCCTCTCTGTCTGCTTCATTGTCGTGAGTCTTTCAGCATCAGCTCCCATTACTAAACTGCCTCATTCTCCTAGGTTGGTTTGTTTTGTTTTGTTTTGTTTCCAGTTCAAGGTAGGAAAAAAAACCCCAAACAACCTTCTAAAGAGAATTGGGTTGACCTGGCTTATCACTTTGAGTCATACCTTGGCACAGGTCACCAGATTAAATTTGAATTGGTTGTCTTGAGGTCAGGTGTCCCCTTGGTCCAATCAGCTGCTTCTCTATTTCAGGAACTAAAATGAATTCAGTTTAACTGTTCAGCAAATCATTTTGTTCCACAGAGGCTTTGGGGGAAGAAGTTTAACTTTATCTCCACCGTATTTGCTGAACCCAGGATTATGATGTCAGAATTAGGCATCACCCCTAGCTGTAGCCCTAATGTGTGCAGGGAGTCATTTTGTAGAAATTTAATTTGGGGTCCCAGTCACAGGGATAAAATCCAGGCATGCAAACCTGAGATCAAATATAGTCATTTTCCCTTACTGACTAATCTCTTGTCTACATTGCCTCGGTATGTTCATAAACATCATCCAAATGAGAGCTGGTTCTCGGGTTCATGGGTCTTTCAGCTCCTCACCATTCATACATCCTGCAGGCTCTCAGCATCTATAAGCATAGGTGAGTGATGCCTGCCCATCTCAGCTATGCACTGATTCTCCTATCACACTGAACAGGAACCATCTCACCTCTTTTCGGAGAGAGACCCTTTGGGCAGGGTTGCAGCTCGCATCTGTCGTGCTGAGAGGAACCAAAAAGGTACCACTGTTACTATTTGGTGCTCTTCCTGGATGGCAGGAGAACTAGAATTTATATTGCCAGTGCAAATAAAGTACTGTAAAGCCTTCAAAGTCCTTTTAGTTTTCATTACCTTCAGATAATAATCTTTCACAAGATCTGAATTTACTGAGCCTAAGTATGATGGATGGACTCCAGGAAAGGCGGGGCATCTACAAGGTCAAATGAGCTTATCTAAAACCAAATTCTTATGATGCCAAGCTTTAAAGAAAGTGTTTGCTTGTGTGAGGTTCATGTGAGGCCACCAGGGATTGGTAGTGACCTGGGTACGTGGTGATCTGCTGCTCTCTTCTGGGTCCTGAGGCAGAGATTCAGGCCAACACATAACAGTAGCCCCTGCCCATAGTTTCTGCTGAGGAACAGACTGAAGACAGGAAGGGACAGTGTTCTCTACATGAGAGTGGACACTTGCCATCCATTTCTCCAGTGGACCCCTGCCAGGTTATTCTCTAATTGTGGCAGAGGGTTCCTCCGTGCTTGGCTGGCCAAGGTCGAGCCTGCTAGGGTTGTTTTAATCAAGTCTGCTGCTCTGTCTACAAGTGACTTCTTGGTCATAATTAACGGTTTTGGAGGTGGATTAAGCCTGTTAGACAATAAATTGTTTAAGCAGCTTTTCTCTATGAAACTGACCTCAGTGAGAACAGCAGGAAACCTGAGAACAAGGGAAGTTCGAGTTCTGAAAAGGGCAGTAGAGATGACCTAGGATAACCTGCTCTCTGAGAGATGCTGTGCTGAAGCCCACTGAGGTGAACTGGGAGGATGTGTGGACGTGCAGTCTCAAATAACTGGAGCCAGTAAGAACAGGGCAGCCAAACTAGTATTGAAGCAGAAATAATGTGATGGTACTTATATTATTTTAAAAAGGCAAGGGAAAGATGAAGGCAGATGTCTCTGAATGGAATGACTGAGATAGAGGCAGCCTCCAAATTGAGTGAAGGACAACCTTTAACTGCTACTCTTTCTAGCTGGTACATAGATAATTTTCCTTTGGGTCTTTGAATCAGAAGATCTGAAGGATAATTAAATTCTTATGCAGAACAGGGAAATCATGTATTTCCTCTCATTATTCTATCTTTTCACCTCAGCTTTCCCTCCTACTCTCTCTCCAGATCTGAAAGAATCATGCAGTCTAGCCTCAAAAAATTACTTATGTTCTTTGAACCGACCAGGCTTTTTTACACTTCTGTGACTTGGTACAAATTGTTTCCTAAGCCTGAAATGGCTTCCCTCTAGTCTATCTTGAAAAATCTAACCAATCTTCAGGGGCCAGCTCAAGTTCGTTGTCTTTTTAGTCTTTTGTGACTCCCCAGATTGGGTAAATTGCCCCTTAATTATGCTTGCCCATATCTTTGTGCTTGTGATATACTTGTCAAATTGTGTTCTAATCATGTAATAGGATAATACTCTGAAATATGATCAGCTCAATTAGGATGAATTGCATATAACAGTGGCTTAAAGAAGATGGAAGTTTATTTCTCTTTCCTGTTAAGGTAGATCAGGCAGAAGCAGTCTAGAGCTGGTATGGCAGCTTTACAATGTCATCATAAATCCAGTTTCCTATCTACCTTCTTTGCCATACTTAGCTCATAGCTCTCATTTTCGTTTCATGTCCAAAATGCCTGCTTAAGCTCCAGCCATCATATCCATGCTCCAGAAAGTAGAAAAGGGGAAGGAAAGATGGTATGTCTCCTCTCTTTTAAGAAGACTTTCTGGAAACAACATAGAACAATTTTAGTAATAAATCGTGTGGTCAAATTCAGTCACACGGCCACATTTAGCTGCAAAGAACTCAGGAAAATATATAGGCAGCATTGTGTCAGAATAAAAACTGTTCTAGAAGAAATGAGAAAAGAATGGATATTGGGAGGCAACTTATAATAACATTATTTGATACATTTTTTGTTTCTGGTCCTTCTTGCTGTTTCCCCTTCCTCAGAGCAATCTGTGTCTTTAGGAAGCAACTAGAACCCAAGTGAATAAAAGGTATATAATGGGTTTAAGATTTACAGTCATAATTCATGTGTGCAGAAGTATAACTTTCTTCATTTGCTGAACTAGACTTGCCCACAGGCCCCTATTTCCATTTATAGCTAGAAAAAAGAATTCTTATCCACTAAAGGGAATGTCACCTGTTCTAAAATGGATTCTTTTTGGGTAAATATTCAGCCAAATGCAGGGCTCTTACCTTTTCCTTTTCCTGCCTTCTCACCAGGAAGTGGTATGGTTGCCAGAGTTTTTATACGGTTCTCTAGTTCTTTTGGACCTCCTGTCCTTAGTTATATTGGATGTCGTCCTCCTCGCTACCCAGGAACTTCTCAGGGTCTGGGACCTTGATTTAGCGGTTTGGCTTTCTCCAGTGCCTATTGCAAGGATTGACATATAGGAAATAGTTTAAAATGTGACCAGTGAATTTATAAGTATACTTTAAATGCATCACAGAATTAATTCAAATGGTAGCACAATGATCTGAAAATCCTGCAAAATTAAAAGTCTGTTTCTCTCTAGCCCCTAGCAGTAGCTTTCTTACGGCACTAATAATACTCAGCTCTCAGCTGTAGTGGTTGTGTGCTTGCCTTACCCTTTGTTAAAGTGTCCTCTCCCTGAAAAATGTTCCTGATTGGTGTAACCCTCGCAGGTCCTGCAGAAAACCGTGGACATAGTAGGCCTTCAGTCAATAAAAACGAGAGACTAAATGAATAGGGGCTTGTGCTTTATAGTTTACCACTGATGAATGACTCTTGCCCAGGAAGAAACAAGAATAGATTTTATCAGAGATATTTAGAACAAGATCAGTAAAGACAAATTGATATTTTGCCTTTGACCAAACCCTTTTATTTGTAAGAAGAAAATTGTTTTTGTTTTTCAGAAACCCTCCACCTACTTTACTTCATCCAGAAAAATGGTGTGAGGAATTCAACCACTTTATTTCACAGTGAGTATTTCTTCCACTGAAAATTGCTTATCCAGCAAGGCCTTGAACAGTGGAGAAATCCAAGTTGTGGAATTGACTTGGCACTAGAAGTTGTTATGCCTTTTAGCACATTATGACACAGAATTTGTTCCAGTAAATGGTAGACGTTACCTCTACAGGATTCGAAAAATAAGGAGTTCCATTTGACTCTTGGTTGTAATCAATCCTCCTGATCATATGTGTCACATTTATTTACTCTGTCCTGGGGAAAATACTGCCAATGGGTCTTGTTTAATAAGGGAGGAGACTCCATCTCAAAGTCTGACACCCACACTTGGGCCAGAGAGGGGACAAAAGGTGGCAGCCTTCAGTAGAGGCTTTGCAACTTGGAAGTTGGGCTTCGCTCTAGGATCTGTGATATGGGAGCAGGGCTCCAGTTCCCAAGATGATTGAGGGAGCAAAGCAAGATTTCAGGCCTGAGGCACCAAGGTGAAGAGCCCAGTCAGGGCCCCAGATGTGGAGAACAAGATGAAAACTCAACTGATGGGTCATGTACCTGGTAGGAGCTATGTTGCCAGGAACTAGGCAATATCCCGTGGGACAAAGACAGGAGCAGAACCAACAGCAGCACCAACAGTGTGGTGACTGAGTGCTTGGAACATGAGCTTTGGGCCTGCCCTCTGACAGAGGACCACACTGGTCCCGAGTCTGGGGAGGATGCTCACTATGTTGGAGGGGGCTATGTGACCCTAAGCAAGGGGCCTGGTGAACTGTGGGGGCAGGAATCTAGACATGGCATTACAAGCCATATCCAGGCACAGGAGTAGGAAGAGTTGTTCTCAGTGTCTACTATATCAAACAAGGGGTTCAGAGGTCTTGGGGGGGAGAGGGGAGGAAGAAGTGACCAAAATAGCTGATAAACAGGAAGCAGGGAAAGGTCATCACAGATTTCTCTAACTTATGCCTATGTGCTTCCACAGAGAGGCAGGGCATTGAAGCAAACTGAGTCTCTTGATCATCTTCCTTAAACACAATACAATCCTTTGTTCACAATTCCAGAATCCAAAGAACTCTGAAAAATGAAAGGTTTTTTTTGTACTTGAGTCATTTAGCCGCAAGCCCTGACCTTATGTAAACTGATTTGGTGGCAACACATGACCTGAACTGAAGTGAGGCTATTTTTAGTCACTATTTATCCTACTCAGTGTGAATATTCATGTGAATTGCTGCAGATATATTAATGTGTTTGATTATAGTTTGCTGCCCCAGATCCTGCTGGGGATGTTACATAACATACAGTAAATACACTGGTTTACTTTTCTAAAGTTTGATAAAATTCTGAATTCCAAAACATATTTGGCCCTGAGAGTTTTGTATAAAGAGCTGTAAACCTGTATTTCATCTTCATCTCAAATGCAACGTAGCTCAAGGTCCCTTAAATTGTTTGATTGTCCAGTCAATCCCTCCTAGATTTTTGCCATCTTCCTCAGGAGAGAGGAGCAATAAAGAACACCAAGAACTCTACTAAGCCAGGCTGTCTTGGAATGTGACCATGAAGTTCAAGGTCAGGGATGGAGGACATTGCCTTGCCCCTCCAGTCCCCACTCTGATGATTTTGCAGGGAATACACAATGCAAAAACAGCCACAAGTCAAGGGTGGTGATATGAGGCAGTGTTGAGAAGAACAACAGATATAGCAGGAGGGGTGACGCTCACATTGGAGCAGAGGAAGAGCCACTTCCTGATATTTGGAAGCCAAAGGAGGTGGAAATTCTGGTGACTGAGAACACGTTCAGATCACCCCAGGGAAAGAAATCTGGGATCTAGGGTTCCAGTGGTTTTGCTGGCAAAGGCTGGATTCAAAATTTCTTTTTCATTCCACTGCTGCACACAGATGCCCTTGATTGACCTTCTCTAAGCTGTCGGCGTAGAAAACCACATTACATATTCACAGGTACTCTTTCCTGTACCAAAATCTTGTGATGCCTCTAAAATGTGACTTGACTCACCAAATTTGGCTTCTTTATATTTTTTTAGAAGTATTTTTGTGTACTAAAATGAAGCATGGTATTGCTTAGATAGATTTAGGAGTAAAGGTACATAATTGATGATGGCATTGGGATTTTCAGTGTTGAATAAAATATACAAATCCCTCTCTACCACTGATTTTTCTTTATGGCAAATCCTGTTATTTAAATTATGCCCTTTTAAAGCTGTTTATGTTTTCTTCAACTGTGAGAATTCCAAATGTGCTCATTCTGAGTTACTTTAGAGTTAGAAACACGTTGATACTAGAATGGAGAACTCAACATGGAAAACAATGCCTTTAAGTGTGTATACCATCAGGGGCAAAGCAAAAAGATCTTTTTGAAACTGGAGTGGAGGGAGATTTTTTAAAAGGTTTTGATAAACCAAGGAAGGTAAATAGAAATTAAGTGATTGTATGTTTTATTACTAAGTTAAAATATGGGAAAATGTCATCAATCTTCTCTTTAATTAGTGAGTTGTCCTTATTGGGTTTATTAGTGAAACTTTTATATATTATAGGTGTTCATAGATTCTTTCCTGTCCCCAGCCTCCCAATCCTGTTTTCCCCATGACATCTGAGATTCCTCACCCATGAATTTTGCTTTTATAAGATTTTTAGGAATATAATATCGTAGGAAATAATATTGTATTTTGTATTTTTAGGTAGAAAACTGCCCCCTATTCCCAGATAATATCCTTTGGTTTCATGAAGGAGCCAGCCTATCAAATGCAATTTAAATTTTCTATTTCATTCTATTTATTCAAATTTCTGATTAAATATAAACAGTGACACTCACTGGGTTAGAAATGTCTATTTAAAGAGTGAGCCTTGGTTTGCTTATGTATTTACCTTGTTCGTATTGGGAAGGAAAGGGGGAAAGGATGGGGGATTAAGACTTTCAGCTTATAAACTTTTCATTATTGCTGGGGCTTAGGAGAGAAGATGATTATCTGATAATTTCAGGAAAAGGTTTTTAGCCTGAGTTATCCAGATAATTTCTTCAATTCCCATTGTAGATGGAGCCACAGTAATAAGTTTACTTGTATTAAGGTAAACTTAGGTCTCTTTCTAAAGAATAAACAGGACTAGAAATTTTTTTAACAGCCTTAAAACCTTTAAAACCCTTTCTCCATGTGACTGCTGAACCATAGCAGAGTTGATTCAGTAATTTTAATCTTTCTTAGTCCATGATGGTCTCCACTCACCAAAGGACGTTATGGCTTCTCATTGTTTCTGCAGTGGTATGCAGGGATTGGCTAGGCTATAGCCCAGTGGTCACAGCTGTGTAGACAAGGGACAGGGTATATGTGTGTGTGTGAGAGAGAGGGAGAGAGAAAAAAAAAAAGAATAAATAAATGCATGGAGTGGGAGCAGAGGTGGTGTATAAGTGCCAGGATGTGGCTTAGTGTTTTTCAGATTTATTTCCAGCCTTCTTAATTTGGAGACAGTAGGAGAGATTTTAAGGTCTGAAATCCTACTGTAAACCTGTTTTGGGGGTTAAAAAAGGAGAAAGGAAACATTAGCCTGTTTGGTTTTGAACCTTTGGTCGTTAGTGATAATTGACTCATTTATATGTGTTAGTTATGCATTTGTCAAAGCATGACTCCTGACAGCTTAGTTATGATAAATTAAACATGATGCTCACATAAATTCTGTCTTGCTTTTTATCCATATGCTAGGACCCTGCCTGATGTTTTTTGTCACCTCTGTAATGTGTGGTTGGCTTTGTAGGGATTTCATTATCAGCCCTTTCCCCTTTGGCTAAAGCTATTTGCATAACAAGTTTATCTGGTTCAGGTCCCAGCCAGACTTCTGTTTTGTCGGGAGCCTACATTCAGAAGTAGCCTTTTGACAAGATGACAATGATTTTCCTTTGCCATCTTCACCTTGGTTCTGAAGAATGTCACTTCTTTTTTCCTGTTCAAATTAATTTCAGGTCTGTGGACTAATTTACAAAAATACTTTCCCATCCATTGACCAAAATGAATCTGTGGACTATGCTTTCTCATTTGCCTCTAAAATTTGGGGGATTTTATTAGGAATTAGATTCAGGATTCCATCATCAGTGGCTCTTGAACTGATTAGTAAGATAGTAAAGATGGATTTCTCTTAGTCAGAGGCAAAGCCACCAAGGGCACTATGACTGCTCAGCTTGGACTTTGAAATGACTTGAACTATGTGGTTGCCCACGCACACCCTGCTTTCCAGGGTTGGCTGGCTTGAGGAGCTAAGCATGCAGGTGTGTATTTCCCAGAGTGAGCCTTGTGGTCAAGCCCTACCATTTCGTAATGAAATGTTGAGGCGGCCTTTCCTATCCCTCCAAATGATATTCGGATGGCTATGCAGTGCCCTGAATGTTAACAAGGTGAGGTTACTCCAAGCTGCAAGACTTTTAAAACTAATGAGCATTTGAATAAATTTATTCCTTAAAAATTAAAAGTCAGACCTATAACATCTGCTTTTCTCTAGGCTTGAATGTTTATAAAGGTAATCATTTTGGGGTGTTTGTTTCCTTGACATTGATTGTAGTCCCTTCAGGGCAACGATTCTCAGCCCTTCTCCATTCCCTATTTTGATGTTTCAAGGCAGCTTAATTCCACATGGCTTTATAATGTCAATGAACAACATGCTAGGAATGATAAATATCCTAACTCAGTGATTGATTAAGTTCCCCAAATATTCTTGGCTTTTTAAGTCCAAATGAATTCTCAGGTGGCCATGCACAGGGTTAATACTTCCTGAGTAGAAAGATACAATAACCTTTATTTACATTACTTCACAAATTGATAACTTTAATTAAAATGAGCAGTGGTATCTCTAGTGACAGACTCTCTCCATTTTAGATTTATTTAGCCAATGATTAGCTATTATGGTTTCTTGAATTAATTAGCGTCTCTTGAGCTACAGGGAATTAGTGAATTAATAAAAACTCATAGAGAAGCTAAAAAATATTCTAATTTAAAAAACCCCAAATTCTCCTCTCCTCTCTAAA